CCATGAGAGATGTGAGATTTAGGTTACATTCCTCTCATCAGCATCTCCCATTGACTGGCTTAGACAGATACTGGCCTAGTGTCTTGCTTTAGTGGATCCCATTCTTAGGCTACATCTACACTACCAGGTAGGGAGGTTGCATAGTCATCCGCATGATAGCTTTCATTGAGCTAATAATATTAGTAGCACAGGCGCAGCAAGCAGCAGCATAGGCTAGACTCCCTGAGTACAAATTTTTTGAACTCTGTGGTTATATACTGAAGGTGGCTAGACTGTGCTACCACTGCCCATGTTACCATGGCTACACTACCATTTTAGCATGCTAGCCCAGATGAGAGCTAGTATAAGTAGGTTTCCATGAGCTGGGAACCACTTCTCTAGCTCATAATTTAGATATAACCTGAGGAACCTATCTCTGCCTGTGCATTTTTTAGGAGCCTAGGCACTAAATCAAGTTTGAGACTAAATAAATCTCAGCTTGACAAAACCCTGGCTGGGTTGATTTAGTTGGGATTGGTCCTGCCTAGAGCAGGGGGCTGGACTTGATGACCTTCTGAGGTCTCTTCCAGCTCTATGGTGCTATGATTTTATGAGTCTAGGTTTGTGGATCCCAATGTTGTTCCAGCAATTTTCTAAGCACTGCAATGACTAAACTTTCTGTGTGGATCCAGACTGCTCTTTATGAGACTGTCTAGACTAAGGTTAGCTTAAGGTAAAGATAAAGTGTATCCCGGAATAAACTTTTTGGAAAGTATCTGTGCTAGCCTTTGTCTTGTTATCTGACAATCAGTTAACTTGATGAAAACAAGTCCAAAGCAGACATTCTGTATGCATAAGGAAGTCTTTGGTGGTCTAACATGCTGAGGACAATCAGAAAAATGCAAGATGTAAGTTAAATTCAGGTGGGTGTTATTTTATCTTATAATTGGATTCTTCAGTAAACATGATGGAGTAGTTCATCCTTTGTTTCCTCTCATGATTAGAGATAGTCCCTCTGTGTGAGGGCTGATGGACAGTGATGAGACTGAGTGGAAAAAATTAATTAACTTCTCTCCCTGTTGTCCTTAATTTGCAGATGGATTCAAAGATTTCATGTCTCTAACGATGTCCATTGACATCTTTCATGTACATTAAATTATCAAAAGAACTGTAAAAACGAGAGCAAAAAATAAGCATATGTTAGAATGCAATAGAAGCCGTGTGTAAGACTTGTGGACACTAGCAGTGACTGGGAGAAAAATCTTGATACAGTTGCAGTAAGCAAACAAACCAAACTCAGTTGCAACGGGAGCATTTAAACTAGTTGATTCCTTTGTAATCTGAATTTGGGGGCTTAATGAACAACAAGAATACTATACATATGAAAACTGGAAAATACAAGGTCAGAAATGGCTCAGCGGGATTTTCTGGACAGTTTATCTTCTCTCTCTAATGACTGATAATGGTACATATCTAGGCCTCTCCTCCTTTTTAATAAATATTTTTGCCTCTTTGCTGACAGAATGAGCACTGATTTGAATGCAGTAGAGACTCATGATATAGCACAATCATGCTTTTCTTCTAATCCTGTCACAAACTGTATGTGAGATGGCAAATACTGCTTGAAATTTATGGATATTGATTCTCAGAAGTCTGTGGACAAATCTGTGCAGCAGATCAGTCCATTAATGGAATGTAGAAATTTATTCTTTCCCATTTATCCTGTTAAGCAATGCATATGCTTTTACGGACTTTTATGGCCTCAATGTCTGTTAAAGCCCCAATGACTGACTTCAGTGCACATTAGATTGGGCCCTTAGGTAATGTCTACACAACACAGATATTTTGGGATAGCGAGGTATCCTGAAATAGCTACCCCACATCTTAGAAACATGCCCGAAATTTCAAAATATTTTTTGGTAATGGGCACATTATTTTGCCATCCCTGTAAACCTCATTTCATGAGGGTAAAGGGATGGCCTGAAATAGCCTATTTCAAAATAGACTGGAAATAAGCTACGCAATTTGCATAGCTCTGAGTTTTGGGTGCTGTGTAGACTGTCCAGTAGATGCAGTATGTACAGTGTTTTCCTCTGTCTCTGTTGGATTAATTTTGTGGTGATTGATCTTGTAATAGGGAACAGGAAAGCCAAGCCTAGACCTTAATTAAGGGCACACACCTCCCACTGACTCTAGTAGGAGCTGCACCTGTTCAAACCAGGAGTTAATTTTGGTCTAGTGTCCGATATCAGTTTTACATTTCAGGAGGTGTGCTCATATTACACTAATGCAGGCAGTCAAACATAGTCTTTAGCGGTTTACCAGATGTCTGCTATGATATCACTTGTTATTTTCCCCCAAAAGTTAACAACCAGATCCGGAACAGAGCAAGGGCTCTGTTTTTAAAGTCTGTATAATCTATATTATCTTTGTTTGCTGTCTTTGTCTTTTTGACACATAAGATAAAATCAATATAAGGTCTTTAGCACTAGTATAGTACCAATCTCACAGATGAGATTTTCTATGGAAGAGATGGCACAGTATTGTGTGGGCCAGCTGAAAGGTAGACAGTTGCTAAAATGTTTAAGATAAGCAAATGATCCTTGTTCCAGTTCTTAAATGAGTTAACTTCTAAATGATGTAAATCGCAGGTGTTCTACCCTGGTTCTATTCTAAGGCCCTGTCCCCACCCCACCCCTTTTTCTGAGGTCCCCACACTCTCTTTGCCTCTTCTTATCCCCACTCTGCCCCCTCCCCCAGGCTCCTTGTCCACCCTTGGCTCACTTCTCTCAGCCCCCTCAGGCAAGGCTTCCCCCCAGCCACTGCTGGCTCCTTTCCACCCTTCCTTGAGCATCTCCCACCACCCGCTGTACAGTCAGCCCTGGGGCCCCACTGAACAGCTATGGCTGAGGGGTGTGAAGCAACCATTAATGTTTTCATAGGTTCTTGAGCCTCCGAGTGCACACTGAGTCAGTGCCTATAAAACACGCTGTGTAACAGGGCTGTGTTTGTTATATCAGTTCAGGTAGAAATATTCCCATTTCAAATACATGTCCTCCAAAAATGTGGATGATGCCAATTTTTGGAAAAGAAATTTCCAGTATGTAAACATTGGGAAGCATATGAAAGGTAATGTTGTGTGTTTATTTTCCTGTGGGCAATACTGGTACTATAACAAGCTACCCATGATTTTTAAGATTTCATAATGTTTTAATAATTCTAGGAGCTGTATACTTGTATTATTACAGAAAAGTGACTCAGTCACAATTTAACATCACAATTCAGGAATAAAATAAAAGTAAAAAATGTAATATAGCATATCCTGTTTGGGATGTATACATTAGAATACAATAACCAAACATTCAACACTGACTTCAGTTTTTTAAAAGTGACTTGATTGCAAACTAGTTGAAAAGTCTTATACATCTTCACTCTGAATTTTCTATCACTGCATTCACTCTTTCTTCTATGAAGATAATTCCCAGACAATCAGTCAATTAAATCCATTAGTAAAAATTACCCATTACTATATAATAAGTATGTCATTGCTATGGGCACTGACCCTCAATTCTAGAAACTTATTTATATTATATGTTATAAAAGCAAAGCATTATTACCTATCATTACAATGGCGATGGTGTGCTGGGTTTATCCAAAATACAGAAATAATATATTCTCTCCTCAAAGGAACTTGTAATTTTAGATATATGCCTAAGTGAAGGGAATCTATATTTACCATAGGAACATAAGAACGGACATAATAAGACAGACTAAAGGTCCATCTAGTCTGGAATCCTGTCTTTCAAAAGTGGCCAATGCCAGGTGCCCCAGATGGAATGAACAGAACAGGTAATCATCAAATGTTCCATCCCCTTTTGCCATTACCAGCTTGTGGCAAATAAAGGCTAGGCACACCATTCCTGCCCATCATGGATAATAACCATTGATGGAATATCCCCCATGAATTTATCTAGCTCTTTTTTGAACCCCGTAAAAGTCCTGGCCTTCACAACATCCTCTGGCAAGGAGCTCCTCAGGCTGACTGTGTGTTTATGAAGAAATACTTCCTTTAGTTTATTTTAAACTTGCTACCTATTAATTTCGTTTGGTGATCTCTAGTTCTTGTGGTTTGGAAAGGAGTAAATAACTTTTCCTTATTTACTTTCTCCACACCAGTCATGATTTTATAAACTTCTGTCATAGTCCTCTTATTTAACATGATATATCTGTGTTAATAAATCCAAAAGGTGCATTGATCAGTAATTATTGGATGTTTTTGAAATATAGCAACAAATGCTTATTAAGAATATTTCATTGAAATTCTATAATTCTTAATGTATTTGTACATAGTTGTTACTGTACACATAAAATTGATATATAACTGTATTACTACATTTAATACTAAATATTAATTATAGGCATTTAATAATAAGGGTGATCTTCCACAAGGTATTTATGAAGTAGAAGCCATAACAGCTAATCACAGGTAGAGCTTTATAAAAACAATTATGTGCTTTTTAGGAATTAATAAAAACCTGCAAATTATTGTAACAATAACTCACATTGAGAGCAAACCTTCATATATGTAGAGCCTTATGCTGATACAAAATTTTGTATCTGTATCTGCATATGTAATCACAAAAATGAGCTACAGATATCCACATCCACACCCACACCTGCAGATGTCAATTCCCACAGATATAAAGTGGATATCTGCAAATTTGAAGGGTTCTAGATTTGTATCTGCATCCATCTCTGCAAAAATGAGCCATGGATATCCACATTCACGTCTATGAATGTGGATACTCATGGAAATAAAGCAGATATCCGCAGATTTTCAGGGTTCTATGTATATGGTGAGAATTTTGTCACATATATTTCCAAATATACAGTTTAGCAATCCATGAACCTTCAATATATCCTTAGAATTTGTTTCTTTTTTTATTATAATTTATTTCCTTTATTGATATTTGAGGTTTTCTCCCACACTATAAATAAACCATTGATTGTGTTCTTCCCAGAAATTCATAAAGAGAAGCCTGACAGACAAGAAAAACTTGAAAAACAAGCACCAAAAGGTAATTATGACTATTTATCGATGCATGTGTAATAGATAATAGATATTTATTAAAATTATACTTCAGGAGCATGTACAAAGTTCCTAGTCATGATCAGGGCCTTATTTAACTATACATTGTATGGACACACATAAAGACGTATGGTCTTTCACCACCGTAGATCCCAGTTCAAGTGGATTTCCCTTTCAGTGAGAGCTTCACAAAACTCTAACTTTAAGCTTCATCAGATAGCTTGTCTTCATGGGGTCACAAATAGCTTGTCTTCATGGGGACACTGAGGAATATTAAGATGAATTAACTAAAGCTTTGAAGTTAAAGCATGAAAATTAAAGCACATTAAATCCTTGTATGCACATTCTCATTCAGAAGTATAGTAGTCTTAGTTTACTAAATTTTACTCTCTTTTGAAGAAGAATTAAGTTATAATGGATTAAGGCTGCTCTATTTCTGAATAGGAGTGTCCACACAGAGGTTGAATGTGCTTTAACCTCACAGCTTTAGTTAATTTAGTATTTCTTGGATGTCCCTGTATAGATAAGCCTTTTCAGTTAATTGGAGTAAACAATCTCATCTCTGTCTGTAATACATTCATCATCCTAAATTTTATTAAACTGGGAACTATTTTTATTTCACTAAGGTATGAACAGAATGCTGTCTTAATAGATCTTTTTTCCCCTCTTCCTGGACACAGAAATATTACCCAACACTCTCTCCATCTTTTTATCTGAGCAGACTAAATTTGACTCCTCTGTACTTTTTTTCAATTGTTGCAGATTAAATATACTATGGGTATGTCTACACTACAGCACTAATTCGAATTAGTGCATCTAGACTTAAAAACTAGTTCGAATTAGCGTTTTGCTAATTCGAACTAGCATGTCCACACTGAGGCTATGTCTAGACTGCAGGCTTCTTTCGAAAGAGGCTCTTTCGAAAGCATCTTTCGAAAGAGCCTCTTTCGAAAGATCGCGTCTAGACTGCAGGCGGATCTTTCGAAAGAGAAATCCGCTTTTTCGAAAGAGAGCACCCAGCGAGTCTGGATGCTCTCTTTCGAAGACGGCCTATTTACATTGAAGAACGCCTTCTTTCGAAAGAGGAACTTTCGAAAGAAGGCGTTCTTCCTCGTAAATTGAGGTTTACCGCCATCGAAAGAAAAGCCGCGTTCTTTCAAAATAATTTCGAAAGAACGCGGCTTGAGTCTGGACGCAGGGGAAGTTTTTTCGGGAAAAGGCTACTTTTCCCGAAAAAACCCCTGAGTCTGGACACGGCCTGAGTGGACCCTCAACTGAGGTTAAGGATGGCCGGAAGCAGTGCGGGCAGGGCATCAGATTAGGACTTAAGAGTGTGGAGCTGCTGCCTCAGGCTAGCTGAGGGCTGTGCTTAAAGGGACCCGACCTCCACCCCAGACAGACAGTTCTCAGGGGTTCCCCGCTTGCAAAGCAGTCCTGGCTTGGAGTGCCCTGAGGGCCCACACTCGGCACATCACAGCACTCGGCCATCAGCCCAGCTGCACTTGCCGCAGGCTGCCATCCGGAGGGGGGGTCAATCAAGGGGCTTCAGGAGAGTTTCCACCCCGAGGAGCCCGCAGAGCCAGCCTAGTCCTCCCCATTGGGGGCTCGTACCCCATTCCTCCCTCACCTCCTTCCACTTACCC